CGCCTCAGATTTAACTCTGTGTTAGAATTAGCCATCAACAGAACACCATCCATGAGTTGGTTAACTAGTTGACCCTTTGATGGCATATCTGGCTTGCTGATCAGGTCATTTACAACCTGGACCACTGCAGTTGCACCTTCTGGAATTTAAGATCTGAGGTACCACAGGCAGCCCAAGATTTGAATCTTGGACACAGAGTGGCTATGAACCCCGCCGGGGGTACTCGCAGAAAAATTGGGTAGGGGTGTGCGGCCCGCTTCCCAAAACCCTTACCCTATTTATGACCAAAATCTGCGATTTTCCCTACCCTATTTATGACCTAACCAAAAATTTGATACCCTATTTATGACCTGACCCTTAAATCAATACCCTGTTTCAGACCTGCCTTATAATTATTTCCCTAGTTCAGACCAATGTTAAAGGCAATGTTTATCTGCTTTTATTAGGTTAGGAGGACACGATAAGGAAGTAGCTTCTTCTTAAAAAGTGCATTCAAGACTACAGTGCAAAAATCGTTACCCTATTTATGACCAAAATGGCGGCAAAATAGCCAAAATCGATACCCAATTTATGACCAAAACGGCTGAAAAACCCTACCCTTTGGGGCCGCACATACCTATATAGTCCATATTAGGGAGTACCCCCCGGGCTATGAACGAAAGGTAAGGGAGCTTTTTGAATCAATATTTCGCGTGATCATGATTTTTTTTCCGTTAGCGTTGTAGATTCGAATACATGTGATAAAATTCGATCAACAAGGGCCCGAATCACATGTAATAATGCAAGAAATATCGATTTTCGTTATCTTAAAGGCTACTAGCACCGATAGACAAACAAGAAGACTTCATATCTTTAAGACTTTTTGCATTTATTTGGCATCAGATAATACACTAATAATTCTAGTATATTCCGACCAAATGACCTCTGAAGCCCGAACCCACAAATAGTGCGCTTGGGCTGCCTGTGGAGGCACGTGCTCTCTCTGAAAGATTATTCCAGATTGGTAGGTTGACCCTAGTTTCGGCCAGCATATCACAGTTTTTTGGCCTGAGATACCGTTTTTTGATTTCATTCAGCTTATCTTCCTCAGGTTTGTCTTTCAATAACTTTTGTAGCCTGCGTAGCATGGCGGTTTTGGTTGGGCGCGCTAAGTAATAAAGGCGGGCAAGGGCAGAGAAACCGCGAGGAGATTGCGGCGGGAGCAACTTGAAAAACTGCCTGTACGGACGGGGGGCATTTTTGAGTCGGTCCGTACGCCAGCGTACGGATCGTTCCGATTGGTTCAGAATGTTTGCTCGTCAATCAAATATTTTGGTAATCTCCCATGGGAGAGTTTCTAGGGACTGAACAAATCATCTCCGCAAAACAAAATCAAAATATCAAAGAAGCGTTGACCGGAGCGTCGTCGTTCTTGAATATTTGACGGGAAAACAGGGCAATTGTATTGAAACCTAAACAGGAAATGGCCATTTACATTCTTCTTCAAAGGAGAGATGTCATGGAAATTTTGTCAACAAGTTTTGGCAAGAGCATGATCTTTACTGTCTTTGCTATGGCCAAAGAAGAAATATCCTCATCGAAAACCTGCATGATCACAATTTCTCCTCTAAAAAGTACTATAGACGACCAGATATCGGAAATGTTGTCGCTGAGCTGTACAGCAATGGACCTTATGACAGAAACAGTAAATTTGCTTCGAGAAAGTCCACCTCAATTTTCTCTATTACTCAGTGTTAGAGAATAACGCACTCCAGCGCACTACATCGAGCGATGTCCGCGATCGTGGTCGATGAATCGCATACAGTAGAAGAAAGACCCACAGCGTAATTCTCCATACTTGGTGTAGCTTACGTTTAAGCTACAACTCAAATGTGAAGATCGCGCTATACGTAAAAATACAACATCCTGCAAACAACACTTAAAAAGCCGGGCCCAATGTCAAAACATTCACGGACAAAGAAACTACAAACCAAGGCTCCTTGGTTTGTAGTTATCCAGATCCAGACATTTTAGTCGGAAAAGACCAAAGAAGCTAAAATATTTATTTAGACGTAATAAAAAGCTTTAGGCTTTAAGAGTGATTTCAAAGAAATTAGTACTGCTTTACAACTGCATCTGAGATCAACAAATTCTAATCAGCAACACGTACAGAAGCATTAACCACAGGAAATAATTACTCAATATGTATGAAACAAACCAACTTCATGACCTCTAAATAAATGTAAGACTTCAGTGCAGCAAAAATAAGATCTACTCAGTCAAGTTTAGAACGCAGCGTAGTCACCTATCCACGAGATAGCAACAAAGAAAAATCTGTGTTTGTTCAAGCAAACTCCAATTCCGGCCAAGGTCACGTTTTACATCATATCACGAGCTTTTGTGTCGTGTTTAGGCTGTCAACACTTTATTTCTGATTGGCTGAAAAAACCGAAACCAAACAAGTTGTCAACAGGATGTCAAAATGAGTTGAAGGGGGCGGCAGTTGAAAAGGCCACGAATCCGGGCAGGCGGTTTTTATTTTTCTCGCGGCTTGGCCGCTCGTGCGCCCGGCTCGACAAAACCGCCATGCTACGCAGGCTATAACTTTTGGACAATAGCGGCTAAGTTTCCATGAATTTCAGCGCCATCTTGTTTTCGAGTTTATTAAGTATGTCACTATTGTCCTTAGGCAGAGCAATGCCATCATCGGTTTTTTGTTTTTTACGAACAGGTTCCTCAGGTTCTATGTCTGAGCCGCCGCCACGGTCATCCGACTCGGAGTCGGAAGCTTCAGAAGCGTTATTCTCGCATGCGGCGTCGTTTTTTGCCTTGAGCAAATCGCCGAAATTGCTAAAACCCTTGTTCATCTCCACCGAAAGACCAGAAAAAGCCTATTTGAGAAGGGCAGCCACGTCAGTGGTTAAACTTTAACCCGGGGTAGCAGATTGTTGTGAGCCGCTACGACGCTCTTTTGGCGCGCTTTTTTCCCTCGAGGAACGGCTAGGTTTTGTCACATTTTTTGTGACCACTGCCGTCTTAGAGGCACCAGAGCCAGTAGAAGGTGCTTTCTCGCTCTTCTTTTGCAACTTGTCATCACATTTAAGTGATTTTGTGGGATCTTTAGTCCCAGAAGTGGGCTCTGCGTCTTTTGACAGCGAGCCTTTGTGCTTCTCTGCACGTGTTTTGCTTGATCCTGCAGAAAACTCTTCGTCCCAGTCGTTCAAACTGGCATCTAAGGCCGAGTCCATCTCTAGCAATTTGGAAATGGTAGTTTCCTTTGCTAAATTCAATGACTCGCTCATTTTAAGTAGATAAAAGAGCTGTATTTTTGGAAAAAATCCTCAAATACACCGATAAAAAGTCAATCTGATCGGTGACAAACGTTGCACTGCTTGGCGCATGCGCTTGCTATCTCATGGAATCTCTCAGCATGATAACGAGGTAGAATTGATGTCACGCCATCGCTTACGAATGAACAATTTTGATCGTAAGAGATCCCTCTTCAAGCTCAATTTTGACTCAATTTTTGACTTGCTGTAAAATAACAGGGATTAACGCCAAACGACAGCTGTATCCAGAATATGAAACAATAACTTTATTACAATGCTGGACTCGAATTCAAAGAGGAAATGATAAAAACTAAGCTCTTAAGAACTTGTTGTTTCTCGACACTTTGATTTTGAAATGCAAATGGCGTGGCTTCTTCGCCAGCGCATGACAAGACGATAAAAATCTAAAATACAAGCGCAAGGAACCACGTAATGCATTGTACTTACCACAATAGACCTTCTCCTTTTTGTTAGCGTCGATTAAGACCTGAAGAACAGAGTAACAAGGTAACAAGGTAACAAGGTAACAGAGTAATAACGTAACAGAGTAAGAAGGTAAAAGGGAAACAAGGTATCAGGGTAACAAGGTAACAGAGTAACAAGGTAACAAGTTAACAAGGTAACAGAGTAACAAGGTAACAATGTAACAAGGTAACAGAGTAACAACGTAACAGAGTAACAAGGTAACAAGGTAACAGAGTAACAAGGTGACAAGATAACAGAGTAACAAGGTAACAAGGTAACAGAGTAAAAAGGTAACAGAGTAACAAGGTAACAAGGTAATAGGGTAACAGAGTAACAAGGTAACAAGGTAACAAGGTAACAAGGTAACAAGGTAACAAAGTAACAGAGTAACAAGGTAACAAGGTAACAAAGTAACAGAGTAACAAGGTACCAAAGTAACAGAGTAACAGAGTAACAAGGTATCAGAGTAACAAGGTAACAAGGTAACAGAGTAACAAGGTAACAAGGTAACAAGGTAACTAGGCAACAAGGTAACAAGGTAACAGAGTAAGAAGGTAACAAGGTAACAGAGTAACAAGGTAACAGAGTAACAAGGTAACAGAGTAACAGAGTAACAAGGTAACAGAGTAACAAGGCAACAGAGTAACAAGGTAACAAGGTAACAAGATAACAGAGTAACAAGGTAACAAGGTAACAGAGTAACAAGGTAACAAGGTAACAGAGTAACAAGGTAACAAGGTAACAAGGTAACAGAGTAACAAGGTAACAGAGTAACAAGGTAACAAGGTAACAAGGTAACAAGGTAACAAGGTAACAGAGTAACAAGGTAACAGAGTAACAAGGTAACAAGGTAACAGAGTAACAAGGTAACAAGGTAACAAGGTAACAAAGTAACAGAGTAACAAGGTAACAAGGTAACAAAGTAACAGAGTAACAAGGTAACAAAGTAACAGAGTAACAGAGTAACAAGGTATCAGAGTAACAAGGTAACAAGGTAACAGAGTAACAAGGTAACAAGGTAACTAGGCAACAAGGTAACAAGGTAACAGAATAAGAAGGTAACAAGGTAACAAGGTAACAGAGTAACAAGGTAACAGAGTAACAGACTAACAAAGTAACAAGGTAACAGAGTAACAAGGCAACAGAGTAACAAGGTAACAAGATAGCAGAGTAACAAGGTAACAAGGTAACAGAGTAACAAGGTAACAAGGTAACAAGGTAACAGAGTAACAAGGTAACAAGGTAACAAGGTAACAAGGTAACAGAGTAACAAGGTAACAGAGTAACAAGGTAACAAGGTAACAAGGTAACAAGGTAACAAGGTAACAAGGTAACAAGGTAACAAGGTAACAAGGTAACAAAGTAACAAGGTAACAAGGTAACAAGGTAACAAAGTAACAAAGTAACAAGGTAACAAGGTAACAAGGTAACAGAGTAACAAGGTAACAAGGTAACAGAGTAACAAGGTAACAAGGTAACAAGGTAACAAGGTAACAAGGTAACAAGGTAACAGAGTAACAAGGTAACAAGGTAACAAGGTAACAGAGTAACAAGGTAACAAGGTAACAAGGTAACAAGGTAACAAGGTAACAAGGTAACAGAGTAACAAGGTAACAAGGTAACAAGGTAACAAGGTAACAGAGTAACAAGGTAACAGAGTAACAAGGTAACAAGGTAACAGAGTAACAAGGTAACAAGGTAACAAGGTAACAGAGTAACAAGGTAACAGAGTAACAAGGTAACAAGGTAACAGAGTAACAAGGTAACAGAGTAACAAGGTAACAAGGTAACAGAGTAACAAGGTAACAAGGTAACAGAGTAACAAGGTAACAGAGTAACAAGGTAACAGAGTAACAAGGTAACAAGGTAACAAAGTAACAAGGTAACAAGGTAACAAAGTAACAAGGTAACAGAGTAACAAGGTAACAAGGTAACAAGGTAACAAGGTAACAAGGTAACAGAGTAACAAGGTAACAGAGTAACAAGGTAACAAGGTAACAGAGTAACAAGGTAACAAGGTAACAGAGTAACAAGGTAACAAGGTAACAGAGTAACAAGGTAACAAGGTAACAAGGTAACAAGGTAACAAGGTAACAGAGTAACAAGGTAACAGGGTAACAGAGTAACAAGGTAACAGGGTAACAAGGAAACAGAGTAACAAGGTAACAGAGTAACAAGGTAACAAGGTAACAGAGTAACAAGGTAACAAGGTAACAGAGTAACAAGGTAACAAGGTAACAGAGTAACAAGGTAACAGGGTAACAAGGTAACAGAGTAACAAGGTAACAGGGTACAAGAAACAGAGTAACAAGGTAACAAGGTAACAGAGTAACAAGGTAACAAGGTAACAGAGTAACAAGGTAACAAGGTAACAAGGTAACAGAGTAACAAAGTAACAGAGTAACAAGGTAACAAGGTAACAAGGTAACAAGGTAACAGAGTAACAAGGTAACAAGGTAACAAGGTAACAAGGTAACAGAGTAACAAGGTAACAAGGTAACAGAGTAACAAGGTAACAAGGTAACAGAGTAACAAGGTAACAGAGTAACAAGGTAACAGAGTAACAAGGTAACAAGGTAACAGAGTAACAAGGTAACAAGGTAACAGAGTAACAAGGTAACAAGGTAACAGAGTAACAAGGTAACAAGGTAACAGAGTAACAAGGTAACAAGGTAACAGAGTAACAAGGTAACAAGGTAACAGAGTAACAAGGTAACAGAGTAACAAGGTAACAAGGTAACAAAGTAACAAGGTAACAGAGTAACAAGGTAACAAGGTAACAAAGTAACAAAGTAACAGAGTAACAAGGTAACAAGGTAACAGAGTAACAAGGTAACAAGGTAACAAGGTAACAGAGTAACAAGGTAACAAGGTAACAGAGTAACAAGGTAACAAGGTAACAGAGTAACAAGGTAACAAGGTAACAGAGTAACAAGGTAACAGAGTAACAAGGTAACAAGGTAACAGAGTAACAAGGTAACAAGGTAACAGAGTAACAAAGTAACAAGGTAACAAGGTAACAAAGTAACAGAGTAACAAGGTAACAAGGTAACAGAGTAACAAGGTAACAAGGTAACAAGGTAACAAGGTAACAAGGTAACAAGGTAACAGAGTAACAAGGTAACAAGGTAACAGAGTAACAAGGTAACAAGGTAACAAGGTAACAAGGTAACAAGGTAACAAGGTAACAGAGTAACAAGGTAACAAGGTAACAGAGTAACAAGGTAACAAGGTAACAGAGTAACAAGGTAACAAGGTAACAGAGTAACAGGGTAACAAGGTAACAGAGTAACAAGGTAACAGGGTAACAGAGTAACAAGGTAACAGGGTAACAAGGTAACAGGCTAACAAGGTAACAGGGTAACAAGGTAAAAGAGTCACAAGGTAACAAGGTAACAGAGTAACAAGGTAACAAGGTAACAGAGTAACAAGGTAACAGAGTAACAGAGTAACAAAGTGACGAGGTAACAGAGTAACGAGGTAACAGGTTAACAAGGAAACAGAGTAGCAAGGTAACAAGGTAACAGAGTAACATGGTAACAAGGTAACAGAGTAACAAGGAAACACAGTAACAGAGTAACAAGGTAACAAGGTAACAGAGTAACAAGGTAACAAGGTAACAAGGTAACAAGGTAACAAGGTAACAAGAGTAACAAGGTAACAGGGTAACAAGGTAACAAGGTAACAAGGTAACAGAGTAACAAGGTAACAGGGTAACAAGGTAACAGAGTAACAAGGTAACAAGGTAACAAGGTAACAAGGTAACAGGGTAACAAAGTAACAAGGTAACAAGGTAACAGAGTAACAAGGTAACAAGGTAACAGAGTAACAAGGTAACAAGTAACAAGGTAACAAGGTAACAGAGTAACAAGGTAACAAGGTAACAGAGTAACAAGGTAACAAGGTAACAGAGTAACAAGGTAACAAGGTAACAAGGTAACAAGGTAACAGAGTAACAAGGTAACAAGGTAACAGAGTAACAAGGTAACAAGGTAACAGAGTAACAAGGTAACAAGGTAACAGAGTAACAAGGTAACAAGGTAACAAAGTAACAAGGTAACAGCGTAACAAGGTAACAAGGTAACAGAGTAACAAGGTAACAAGGTAACAGAGTAACAAGGTAACAAGGTAACAGAGTAACAAGGTAACAAGGTAACAAAGTAACAAGGTAACAAGGTAACAGAGTAACAAGGTAACAAGGTAACAAGGTAACAGAGTAACAAGGTAACAAGGTAACAAGGTAACAGAGTAACAAGGTAACAAGGTAACAAGGTAACAAGGTAACAAGGTAACAGAGTAACAAGGTAACAAGGTAACAGAGTAACAAGGTAACAGAGTAACAAGGTAACAAGGTAACAAGGTAACAGAGTAACAAGGTAACAGAGTAACAAGGTAACAAGGTAACAGAGTAACAAGGTAACAAGGTAACAGAGTAACAAGGTAACAAGGTAACAGAGTAACAAGGTAACAGAGTAACAAGGTAACAAGGTAACAGAGTAACAAGGTAACAAGGTAACAAGGTAACAGAGTAACAAGGTAACAAGGTAACAAGGTAACAGAGTAACAAGGTAACAAGGTAACAGAGTAACAAGGTAACAGAGTAACAAGGTAACAGAGTAACAAGGTAACAAGGTAACAAGATAACAGAGTAACAAGGTAACAAGGTAACAGAGTAACAAGGTAACAAGGTAACAAGGTAACAGAGTAACAAGGTAACAAGGTAACAAGGTAACAAGGTAACAGAGTAACAAGGTAACAGAGTAACAAGGTAACAGAGTAACAAGGTAACAAGGTAACAAAGTAACAAGGTAACAGAGTAACAAGGTAACAGAGTAACAAGGTAACAGAGTAACAAGGTAACAAGGTAACAAAGTAACAAAGTAACAAGGTAACAGAGTAACAAGGTAACAGAGTAACAAGGTAACAGGTAACAAGGTAACAAGGTAACAAGGTAACAAGGTAACAAGGTAACAAGGTAACAAGGTAACAAGGTAACAAGGTAACAAGGTAACAAGGTAACAAGGTAACAGAGTAACAAGGTAACAAGGTAACAGAGTAACAAGGTAACAAGGTAACAGAGTAACAAGGTAACAAGGTAACAGAGTAACAAGGTAACAAGGTAACAAGGTAACAAGGTAACAAGGTAACAGAGTAACAAGGTAACAGAGTAACAAGGTAACAAGGTAACAAGGTAACAAGGTAACAAGGTAACAGAGTAACAAGGTAACAGAGTAACAAGGTAACAAGGTAACAGAGTAACAAGGTAACAAGGTAACAGAGTGACAAGGTAACAAGGTAACAGAGTAACAAGGTAACAGAGTAACAAGGTAACAGAGTAACAAGGTAACAAGGTAACAAGGTAACAGAGTAACAAGGTAACAAGGTAACAGAGTAACAAGGTAACAAGGTAACAGAGTAACAAGGTAACAAGGTAACAAGGTAACAGAGTAACAAGGTAACAGAGTAACAAGGTAACAAGGTAACAAGGTAACAAGGTAACAGAGTAACAAGGTAACAGAGTAACAAGGTAATAAGGTAACAGAGTAACAAGGTAACAAGGTAACAGAGTGACAAGGTAACAAGGTAACAGAGTAACAAGGTAACAGAGTAACAAGGTAACAGAGTAACAAGGTAACAAGGTAACAGAGTAACAAGGTAACAAGGTAACAGAGTAACAAGGTAACAAGGTAACAGAGTAACAAGGTAACAAGGTAACAGAGTAACAAGGTAACAAGGTAACAGAGTAACAAGGTAACAAGGTAACAGAGTAACAAGGTAACAGAGTAACAAGGTAACAAGGTAACAGAGTAACAAGGTAACAAGGTAACATGGTAACAGAGTAACAAGGTGACAAGGTAACAAGGTAAAAGAGTAACAAGGTAACAAGGTAACAGAGTAACAAGGTAAAAAGGTAACAGAGTAACAAGGTAACAAGGTAACATGGTAACAGAGTAACAAGGTGACAAGGTAACAGAGTAACAAGGTAACAAGGTAACAGAGTAACAAGGTAACAAGGTAACAGAGTAACAAGGTAACAGAGTAACAAGGTAACAAGGTAACAGAGTAACAAGGTAAAAGGTAACAGAGTAACAAGGTAACAAGGTAACATGGTAACAGAGTAACAAGGTGACAAGGTAACAGAGTAACAAGGCAAAAGGTAACAGAGTAACAAAGTAACAAGGTAACAAGGTAACAAGGTAACAAGGTAACAAGGTAACAAAGTAACAAGGTAACAAGGTAACAGAGTAACAAGGTAACAAGGTAACAAAGTAACAAGGTAACAAAGTAACAAGGTAACAAGGTAACAGAGTAACAAGGTAACAAGGTAACAAGGTAACAAGGTAACAAGGTAACAGAGTAACAAGGTAACAAGGTAACAGAGTAACAAGGTAACAAGGTAACAGAGTAACAAGGTAACAAGGTAACAGAGTAACAAGGTAACAAGGTAACAGAGTAACAAGGTAACAAGGTAACAGAGTAACAAGGTAACAAGGTAACAGAGTAACAAGGTAACAAGGTAACAGAGTAACAAGGTAACAAGGTAACAGAGTAACAAGGTAACAAGGTAACAGAGTAACAAGGTAACAAGGTAACAGAGTAACAAGGTAACAAGGTAACAGAGTAACAAGGTAACAAGGTAACAGAGTAACAAGGTAACAAGGTAACAGAGTAACAAGGTAACAAGGTAACAAGGTAACAGAGTAACAAGGTAACAAGGTAACAAGGTAACAGAGTAACAAGGTAACAAGGTAACAGAGTAACAAAGTAACAAGGTAACAGGGTAACAAGGTAACAAGGTAACAGAGTAACAAGGTAACAGAGTAACAAGGTAACAAGGTAACAGAGTAACAAGGTAACAAGGTAACAAAGTAACAAAGTAACAGGTAACAAGGTAATAAGGTAACAGAGTAACAAGGTAACAGGGTAACAAGGTAACAAAGGTAACAAGGTAACAGAGTAACAAGGTAACAGAGTAACAAGGTAACAGAGTAACAAGGTAACAAGGTAACAGAGTAACAAGGTAACAAGGTAACAGAGTAACAAGGTAACAAGGTAACAGAGTAACAAGGTAACAAGGTAACAGAGTAACAAGGTAACAAGGTAACAGAGTAACAAGGTAACAGAGTAACAAGGTAACAAGGTAACAGAGTAACAAGGTAACAAGGTAACATGGTAACAGAGTAACAAGGTAACAAGGTAACAAGGTAAAAGAGTAACAAGGTAACAAGGTAACAGAGTAACAAGGTAAAAGGTAACAGAGTAACAAGGTAACAAGGTAACATGGTAACAGAGTAACAAGGTGACAAGGTAACAAGGTAAAAGAGTAACAAGGTAACAAGGTAACAGAGTAACAAGGTAAAAGGTAACAGAGTAACAAGGTAACAAGGTAACATGGTAACAGAGTAACAAGGTGACAAGGTAACAGAGTAACAAGGTAACAAGGTAACAGAGTAACAAGGTAACAGAGTAACAAGGTAACAAGGTAACAAGGTAACAAGGTAACAAGGTAACAGAGTAACAAGGTAACAGAGTAACAAGGTAACAAGGTAACAGAGTAACAAGGTAACAAGGTAACAGAGTGACAAGGTAACAAGGTAACAGAGTAACAAGGTAACAAGGTAACAGGGTAACAAGGTAACAAGGTAACAGAGTAACAAGGTAACAGAGTAACAAGGTAACAAGGTAACAAGGTAACAAGGTAACAAGGTAACAGAGTAACAAGGTAACAGAGTAACAAGGTAACAAGGTAACAGAGTAACAAGGTAACAAGGTAACAGAGTGACAAGGTAACAAGGTAACAGAGTAACAAGGTAACAGAGTAACAAGGTAACAGAGTAACAAGGTAACAAGGTAACAAGGTAACAGAGTAACAAGGTAACAAGGTAACAGAGTAACAAGGTAACAAGGTAACAGAGTAACAAGGTGACAAGGTAACAGAGTAACAAGGTAACAAGGTAACAGAGTAACAAGGTAACAAGGTAACAGAGTAACAAGGTAACAGAGTAACAAGGTAACAAGGTAACAGAGTAACAAGGTAAAAGGTAACAGAGTAACAAGGTAACAAGGTAACATGGTAACAGAGTAACAAGGTGACAAGGTAACAGAGTAACAAGGTAACAAGGTAACAGAGTAACAAGGTAACAAGGTAACAAGGTAACAAGGTAACAAGGTAACAAGGTAACAGAGTAACAAGGTAACAAGGTAACAAGGTAACAAGGTAACAAGGTAACAGAGTAACAAGGTAACAGAGTAACAAGGTAACAAGGTAACAGAGTAACAAGGTAACAAGGTAACAGACTAACAAGGTAACAAGGTAACAGAGTAACAAGGTAACAAGGTAACAGAGTAACAAGGTAACAAGGTAACAGAGTAACAAGGTAACAAGGTAACAGAGTAACAAGGTAACAAGGTAACAGAGTAACAAGGTAACAAGGTAACAGAGTAACAAGGTAACAGAGTAACAAGGTAACAAGGTAACAGAGTAACAAGGTAACAAGGTAACATGGTAACAGAGTAACAAGGTGACAAGGTAACAAGGTAAAAGAGTAACAAGGTAACAAGGTAACAGAGTAACAAGGTAAAAGGTAACAGAGTAACAAGGTAACAAGGTAACATGGTAACAGAGTAACAAGGTGACAAGGTAACAGAGTAACAAGGTAACAAGGTAACAGAGTAACAAGGTAACAAGGTAACAGAGTAACAAGGTAACAGAGTAACAAGGTAACAAGGTAACAGAGTAACAAGGTAAAAGGTAACAGAGTAACAAGGTAACAAGGTAACATGGTAACAGAGTAACAAGGTGACAAGGTGACAGAGTAACAAGGTAACAAGGTAACAGAGTAACAAGGTAACAAGGTAACAGAGTAACAGAGTAACAAGGTAACAAGGTAACAAAGTAACAAGGTAACAGAGTAAGAAGGTAACAAGGTAACAAGGTAACAGAGTAACAAGGTAACAAGGTAACAAGGTAACAAGGTAACAAGGTAACAGAGTAACAAGGTAACAAGGTAACAAGGTAACAGAGTAACATGGTAACAAGGTAACAAGGTAACAGAGTAACAAGGTAACAAGGAAAACAGAGCAACAAGTTAACAGAGAACAAAGCTTCAAGGCAACAAGGAACCAAGCAGGAAGAGTGAAGTTATAAGTCAATTAGGTAAAAGCGGTACAATATATGTCCCCATACATGAAGTACCTACCGTCAACCCGTCAACCTATATACCGCAAACCAAGAGACTTTGGGCTCGCAAGATCGGCTTTCGTGCCTCGGTCGCCCTTCGGGCGGCGTTCCGTGCGCCAGCGAGGATATGGCTTGCGGTTATTGATTTTCAAAAAGTTGATCTGGGTCAGATAGGAAGCGAAGAAATCGTTTACAGTAGATTTATAAAGATCCCATTGGGCTGATTAATCGTGCTATATTAAAGTGACAGGTTTAGACATTTTTCAAGGTGAGACTTTAAATAAGTAATTCATTTATTCACACGAAACTCCTCTGGACCCTGTGCTGCCATTTGGGAGTTCAGAAGTGAAAGCTTGGAGAACAACCAGGGGCACCCAACGAGAATATAGTTCAAAACCACTTAAACATAGCATTGTTAAACGTCTTTTAGTATTTTAACGGTAGATATAGGTAAATTTTTATCCCCTAAAAATTTTTCATCTGTTCGGATTTCCTAGCTGAAAGTCTAGTGATCGGAAGTTATAGGGATCAAACTTACCTTTTCGAAAACTTCAGCCAGAAAAAAGGCTCACGAAAATTCTAGGTGACCTTTTCAGGGAAAAAATCCGTTAAAAATGGCCAATTATACCATATTTTAGATGTTCGAAAATCCTAGGAGAGGACGGCAGGGAAGAACTTTTACAAAAAATGTTCCGAAAATTCTAGATCTCAAATCGTCTTCCGAACAGATATTTTCCGAAAATTGACGTTGGGTGCCCCTGAACAATGCAACGGTGATGCGAAAATAAAATGATGATATTGATGCTCTAGTAAACCGAAGAGAAGACCAAGACTTTTGAGCAGGATGTGGTTGTTTTCTTTTGTTATTTCGCAGATCACCGATCCAGAATCCCCATCTGCTGCAGAACGCCTTGTCCCTTGTTGGATGCACAAGCACCTTTTAAACCTTTTCGATTTGGTCACCATGGCTACAGTGACGAGGTGCTCCACTTTGAAATTGAACGACGCAACTTAGGATACTTGAGGTGGTCATAATGTCCAGGATGAACAATACGCCTTGAGTCCTCCGATTTCATTACATGATCACAGGACAGAGCATAGTAAGTGCTACCGCTTTTCACAATAGCGCCTAGTGTCCCTGATGCTATAGCTTTTCCTGTATGCCAGTGCTTGCTCCCGAATACAGCTCTTCTCCAGAATCCACTCGTCAACCTGAGGAGCAGTCAGTGATTTGGGTTCGCCAGGATGAATACTAGTGCCGTTGAACATTCAGTATGTTGACGCTGTTGTTATACAGATCTGGCCACTCCAGCTTCACAGTCGTATCTTCGAAAAACGTTTGGGCTTCTTCCTTCAAATCTTTTGGAATACCAGACTCCCCACTATACACATAAAACTGAACCACAATCTGACCATCCTTCATATAGGGCAACACACGAATGCATTCTCCGTGCTCAGCTTCAAACATCATGGTTGCAGCTCGAATGCCTCTCACTCTACTCGCCGTTGCCATAGGCACTTCACCTGGATCCAAGGAAATCCCGTCCTTTAGGGTCATCAATGGATTTTCCCCCATGTGCGGATTTTAGACCAGCTTCAGGAACAATACTAAGCTTGTCCATTTGCATCGCCTCTGTAAAATGGAAGAGGTAATTCAGTATGAGTGTCGTCATGAAACATCGCGGTTGCAGCAATAAAAATTTTCACTTTACGCTGCGTGGCGATGGGCACGTCTCCTAAAACTAATGCGGTTATCATTAACTTTCCCGGCGGTCAACTCCTTGGACACCCCAGGGGATTTGTTCTACGATCAAACAAAAACCTACTAAATCCCCGGTGTATAGGGCATAAACGTACTACACGCCATATTCCCCTCCCCAGGGGCTGAGAAGCCAGCATACCTTATTTACACTATATCTTTGTAGTAATAACAGATATATATGTCCCATTTTATGGAGGGGTCTCCTTCCAATAATTTTGACGCAGCGTCTATCATACCAAATGTGACACCTTGGACCTTGCTTACCGTAACTCCTCTATTAAGCCCCCGGAGGAGGTTTATTTATTTCAACCGAAATTTTAAAGATGGCTTATTCAATTTAGCAAAGAAGATAGTATCAGTTCTCCATGAAGAACTAGAACGCAAAAAGGAAAAGTTCAATTACGAGAAGTTGGAGGACATACAACCGAGGATCAAAAGAAAATCCGAACTTCCAGCCGGTGAATAAACCAGCCCGGATCAGTGCACACGAAGTGTTGCGTCCTGATTGATTAATATAGTCTATCATTTACCAGTTAATGAAAATATGGGGGAGGGAAGGGGGGCTTAAAAGAGATTGGGGGGAAGGGGCTTATTTTTGTTTAGTCTTCATCTAAAAAGGGAGAACTTATTAGAGAGAGGGGGCTTATTTGAGAGGGGTGGGGGGCGGGGTTAATAGAGGATATATGGTATTTATTATTTTTTAAACTATTTGCCGTGAATACTCAAGACTGTCAGTGCAAAGAAAAATTTGCGGATTCAAAAATATCCGGATACGTGTAGACCGACAAATTCGATTTGAATCCGGATACATGTGGACGCGGAAATTTTTGAATCCGGAAAGAAAAAGCTAGGGGTTCAAAAACATCCGGATACGTGTGGACGGGGCTTTAGAAGGTAATAGCCGTTAAGAAAAACACTGGATCTATCTATTTATATTCTTTAGCAGAAGGTTTATGGATAGTTGGCCAGTCAGCTTTCGTGGTTCAAGGTGGAAGTTTTTTATCCCATCGGCATAGTGATTTTTTAGTAGGTCACTAAATTTGTTTTTAAATTGGTAGCTGACGAGACTGAAGTGAAGTTAAAAAACCGAACTCCGGAAACCTTTTTATTCATTAAAGTTATTGATTAAATTTAGTGTGTTTATTATTTTGCAGTAGCATATATCACGGTCTGGTTCTCTAACTAGTTTATTGGTTAATCAGATTAGGAAATAACAGATCCATCACTTATTTACCCTGCTGTGTCTCATTTACTTTGAAAGTATTCAAATACGGCTGTCAGATATATCCTAGGGTAGGACACATTCGTGAATTCAATCCAGCAGAATTGTAATTAAGTACAGAAACTATAGTAATTGAAAATAAAACATTTATTTATTTTTGAAACTATTTTTATTGTTATGTGTCTTTTGCCCACTACAGTCTTGTTTGCCGGTTTTAAATGGCATGTTAATTACAGTTTCAACCTTTACATCTTTCAATAAGCATTTGAAATTCCAAAACACTCTCGTCTACGTCGGTGGGCTTGTTCACATGGTACCTGTTTTTCGAAAAGATACTTGTTTCCTAGAAAAAGATGCTTTTGTAATCAGAAGTTTGTAATCTACGCTGTAATGATCTGATAGCATAGGATCCAGCTGATCCAGCACCACCTTAAAAGTTTTTGTACCAGTCTATCACCAGATCTCGTAATAATTACGAAATGCAGGGTGTGGTTTTTCTTGTGTATGGCAGCACTAATGTGTTACGTGCACTCGAATGATTGTAGAATCTGGCTGTACTTTGTTCACTTAGCCTATATTCCGTGGGCATTTTTCTCCTTGGACGATGGTCACCTGTGGTGTTCCCCAAGGTAGTGTACTTGGGCCAGTCCTGTTCCTTGCCTATATTAACTATATTACAACTGGCGTAAGGTCAAGCATGCGTCTGTTTGCAGATGAAAGCAAGGTTTACATGATTATTTGCGATGAAAACGACGAGAAACAACTTCGATGTGACCTCAACAAGCTTCAGAAACGGAGTGAAAATTGGCAACTTCGTTTTCACCCTGAGAAATGTGAGTTTCTACGTGTTAGCCATGCGAGTGATCATACTAGCTATCCTTACAAGCTCTCTGGTTGTCAATCAATCAACTTTATTTAAACACGGTAAATGGCTCAGCAAGCTGGTTTTCAGACATGCCGTGTGATAATTACAATTTATAAAAATTAAGACTAGCGATTAACTAACATTACAATATAACAGCAAGAAATGAGTATTAGAAATAAGATAAAAACATGATAAAAGTTATATCTTAAGATATGGCGAGTTTAAGTCTGTGACCGAAACGTTTGATTTGGGTGTCTCATTGACTTCTAATCTATCCTGAAACACCCAAACGCAGAAAGTTGTAAATAAAGCCAACAAGATTGTGAGTTTCCTTTAAAGGAATGTTGGTGCAGGGAACAAGGAAGTCTTTCCTCGTCTGCACAAGGCCTTGGTTATACCCATTCTGGAATATGCTGTCACTCTCTGGTCACCCTATTTGAAGAAAAACATTGACGCTCTTGAACGAGTCCAACGTAGGGCCTCGAAATACGCTCTCCTGATGTCATGTAGGGAATCTCCGTACGAAGAAAGACTGTCAATGCTTAGGTGGATCAATCAAGGAGGTCTTATCAATCTTTGCTAGACTAGTGCTACAAGACTATTCATGGCCTTAATGGCGTCAACTGTAATGATTATTTTGAATTTAATTTTTATGGTAGAACAGGATCAAACCATTCATTTAAATTAAGACAGCCATTAGCTAGAGTAAATTGTTTTTTGTACTCATTCTTTGTTAGAATTATTAAACAGTGGAAGGCTGTTCCTAAGGAGATAGTGCACGAACAGGATTTCAACATTTTTCGAAGTAAACTTAGAAAGTTTAGCCATTTCTTAATTATTCTGAAATTTTACATTGTACAGTACTTTTATTTTATATTTTATGTAGGGAGCGCCCTCGATAGCGATAACCTCTGATGTTCCCCTTTATGTATCCCAACATAATAAATGTTTGATTGATTGATTGAAAAAGCAGTGTGAAGATTCTGATCATCATAATTAAAGTTGTAATCCCAGCTTAACCAGTTCCGAG